GTAGTAGTAGTAGTAGTAGTAGTAGTAGTAGTAGTAGTAGTAGTAGTAGTAGTAGTAGTAGTAGTAGTGTTATTGGTATTAGTAGTAGCTAGTTTCACGCCCACTATGTGGCTAGTATACAAATTAATTTAAATGCTTCATCTTGAATGTTGCGTCTGCTTTGAACAACTCAACTATCAGTTCATACTCTTTAGAATAATCTTCACATGCGTGCTAACCTTTAACCCATACCAATCAGTTCCCCTCTCCTAATAGATCACGAATATCAGAAGGGCTTAAATGAGGCTCGCTGACACTAGCACTGATGAGGCTGACTTTAAGTTCGTGGTGGGAAACTGATCAGCTCATGCACGTGAACCTGATTTATTTATAAACCCAAACCTTGTGACCGCTTCTTCATTCAGGAAAGATGGCCACGCGACCAGCGTCCAAGAGGACTTTTTAGTCTGAAAGATACCGAGAAAATAAAGATGTTATTTCATGAATGCCGCCCGAAGGAGCACACCACACTACACTAAAAATAAACACGGTACAAATTGTGACATGGAAATGTGAATAGCTCAGGTCAAAAAGGGAGATACCACAACTGTTAAACACACGTTTGGTCAAAGGATGGGCTTCATTTGTCCATTTGACGAGTTGTAATATGGTGCTACAAATGGCGAGACTCACCAAGGATGCTGGCGAAACGTCTGCGAATGTACCATGTCCACGGTCCGACTTTGGAAATGATCATGCATACAATGGACTCCGGACAAAATGTGTTCCTCTAAGTCTTCCTACCAATATGACCGAGTTGCAAAAATAAGGTCAAACAACTTTTTTACAACGAAAGGAGACTGCGATCACACAAAAGGCCACACCATCTTGGTCTTCATACCTTCAATTAAAAGATGCCATTGTTACTGAAATTGAACTTTGACCCCTCTAAACTGAGCAATTTAAAGCACCAGAATATTTGTTACTGTTCATATATAGAATCGACTCTACCAATCGTAGCAAAGTGTTGTAGCAGCCCATTAGCTATGTTATTGCCATCTAAGATATTATATTTGGCCAAAAACTTTGATTTAGCCTGGCCGAATTACCGCACAGTCATGACTTTACTGAGGTTAGAATAAAATTAAATCCATTTAATTTTCATTCTACTTATAAAAAATAGAAGTAGTATAGTTCAAAATAATATAATTAGCATGTGTTTAATATACTAGAAAAGTATACATTATAAACCGATATCGAAACGATCCCATTAGAGTGGTAATAGACCCAAGGCGAGGTCGAAGCTGTAACCTAGCCTGGGCAAGAAAGCCGGATGAAAGGCAAGAAAGACTAAGTGAAATGACTGGATGGTGAGGCCTACTCTTCTCATTTTGAGAAATTGAGCTATCGATCTGCATCACCAATTCTTATGATTGAAAACCAACTATTTTGTATTGCTTCATGCCCTTTTATAAATTACAAGTATTTATTATTCCAATTGTCTGTTCCTAACTCTTGAGTATAATAATGTCAACTTTATTGCCATTTGAGAGATGGCATTAGGACAAATTTTAAAAACGATTTTATGCAGCTAAATTGCAAATACAAAAGATTTGATTATACCTCAGTTTTTTATCTATGATATATCTAATTTATTCCTGTCTTTTATTTCATTTCTGCAACTGTACTACACTTCCTTTGATCAGTTCATGGCCCACAACGATATGATGGACAAGCGCACAACGGCGCACTTAGAGGCCGAGTTGTTCCTCTCGAACGGCGATGCGATGGGCGAGGAGAACAAAGGTCAGAGCTCCTTGTCGTCGTCGAGTGGTGCTCCTCTAGACCTGACTCCAGATGAGATGTTAGACAAGTCGCACCAGATTAGTTTGAGTAAGGGAAATTTACAAAGCCTGAAGACATTCACTGCTGCTCTGGCAAGTGTAACTTAATGTATGTAGAGTATACGAGGAAAATTTGGGCTTCAAAGAATTTATGGGTCAGCAACTGTTAAGATCAATTTCATTTCGAGTGAAAGTTTGTGCTATAAGGAGATTTGTGTAGGTAGATCACAACAGGGAACGACAGCGGATTCCTTTTGGCCAGTTGTCGGTTGGTTTTGCTGGTACATTATTGCTGACACTGTTCCCGAGACAGTCTCCTTCAATTCAGGCCAAAATGTGCTAAGCTTTTCTTCGTCCTTTGACGAATATTGACATTTTTACATGCTTATCTGAGCTAACCCATAACTGCTGTATAGATACCTTTAATCTATGCCCCTGGATGAGGTATAAAATGATTTTAATGGCTCGAGTCATATGCAAATCTAGAAGCATGTGGTGTGTGTATGGTATGCGTGTTTGTCTGCATGCATGTGTGCGTATATGTACGAAACCATTTATGATAGCTAAATGTAATTAAAACATAACGTAACGTTTGTATTTGACTTTTATCTGACTTTTTTGTCTGTGTACCCGTGTATGCATGTGTATGCCAAGTCGCGTGCCAACATACAAACACGTGTGTGTGTGTGTACGTATATGTATTAAACCAGTGAACCTTTG